AAGCATGACGTGATTATGCATATGATAGTATGATACTGTATGTCGTTTACGCAGTGCGACGGAGCGACCTGGATTTTTTTCAAATTTTCTTTCCCTTGATGATATATATATATATATATATATATATATATATATATAGGAAAATGCTTCTGTACTCCCGGGAGTACGTACTCCCTCTCCCATCCACCGTTCATCGCCCCACCAGGATGATCATCCTCCCACTCCCGCTACCGGGTCTAACTATGGGAGTATCGATCGGACCCGTTTTAATTCGAAAAAAACAATCCCGTGAAATCCGAAGGGAGCCCTATTATCTCTGAGTAATCAAATTATATATATATATATATATGTTCAAACAAACTCCACAGTGAATTTCATCTTAACTAGACATATATATAACAATAATAAAATTAAAATATACTTCACCCGTTACAACGCACGGGCATTTTTTCTAGTAAATCATCATATTTATAAATAGCACCAATATCAAGGCAATAAAGTATCATTTATTATGAAATTTAACCTCATTGATAAGGTGTTGTGTTAGGGATGCATGTAGACAACGATGCCATTTAATCTTGCACATATAAATGAATAGACATGTAATAATGGTATTTACTCATGCACAAATAAATGGATAGACATGCCATGATATCATTTACTTCTGCACAAATAAACGAATGGCCACCAGTTAGATAATGATCAATCTAGGAAAACCTCAAAAATCTTAGGCGATTTACTTGTGCACAAATAAACGAATGGCCACCAGTTAGATAATGATCAATCTACGAAAACCTCAAAAATCTTAGGCGGTGATCAAATTGGGATAGAGGTAGTATTTATATCGAGGACCCTAGGACAGTAAGATTTATCTGAATACTAAAGTTACACGTTCACATTCTTCACATATATTGTGAATGAGAAATTGTATTACAATGCATTAAATACATATGCAAAATCTAAATCAAATTATAACTAGCTATATATACCTACTTTCAGCTGATTCTACCCATTTTAAAGGCATATATGTACAAGTTGATAATTTATCATAAGTTGTTGTTTTTCTTTATTTTATGGCCCCACCAATCACAAGTGTTGCCCATGTTTGTCACATTTATCTAAAAAAAAACATCATAGCCGTAGGTACGGTCTTGTTATCATTATCTTCTGAGTGAGAGCGGTTTGCATCTCATATGTACATGAAATAGACAACATATTAGCATCATAGTCATTTGGATTTTGGACTCATATTATAAATATGTAAGCACGTTGCTTTTCTCCACTTCTATCATTCTATGGAAAGCACATTGCCAGTTAAGTACGCAAGCACTATGCAATTTAGTGTGGCTGATTCCCTCTTCCACCTGATCAAGTAATATTCTTGGAAGTTTAGATTCCTTTGTTTTTGTTATGTACTCTTCGACAATTTAGGGTATGTTCACTTTGATGCTATTTTCAACCTTACCAAGTTTTGATAAAGTTGCCAAAAAAGTGGCTACATTTAGTTTGCTGCCAAATTTTGGTAACTATATAAGAAATCCTACCAAAATTTTAGCAAGTTACCAAAATTTTGGCAACTATGCCAAAATTTTGGTATTGCCAAAATTTTGTAAGATTTTTTTGGCATCAAAGTGAACAGACCCTTAGAATCCGTCGTGGTTAACTTCATCCATAAGTATCTACTAGAAAAACGATTTTTCCCAACATTACGATTTTATTTTTCTAGGCAGACTATAAAATCACCATTTACAAAAATAGCTCAAGATACCATAAACCTAGTACCTGCGAAACCATTATTTTTCAAGCGGACCTCATTAAGGTTACGCCAGCGAAAAACGATTTTCACAGGCGGAACCTTAGGTCCTCTGCCTGCAAAAATCCACCGCCCACACCAACCGGCCTCGTAATATCCGTCACCCACCCCTTATCTCTATCCCTCACCTTTTCACTCCCTCACTCCTTCCTCTCAGATTCACTCTCTTCCCCTCACCTCCCCCTTCACTCCCTCACTCCTCCGGCACGGAGGGCGGAGGCAGCGGCCACGGCTGGCGGCGTGCGGCGACAAGGAGGGGAGCCGTCAGCACAGAGGCAGCGGTGCGGAGGGTGGAGGTGGCAGCCACAGCCGGCGCGGAGGGTGGTGGTGTGCGGCGACTAGAAGATCCGGCGGTGTGGAGGGAGCCGGCCAGCGGAGGTGGCAGATAAAGGAGGAGAGTCGGCGGCAGTGGTGACCCGGTCACCCTCGGCGGTGACGGTGAACGGAGGAGGAAGGGCCGGATGGGGAGGGGGAAGGGGAGGAGAGCCGGCGGCCGGAGGGAGGGGCTGGCAGGGGAGGGCGGTAGCGGGTCGGTTTTTTTTTTAATTCAATGAGGTGGTTTTCGCAGGCTGGTGGATGTAGTGTGTGCGAAGATCGATGTAGAGGCTCGCCTCTGAAAATGATTTTCGTAGGCGGGGCTAATGTCCGCATATAAAAATCATCTATTTTTGCAGGCCTTCAAGTACAGGCGGGGTGAAGCTCCGCTTAGAACTTTTTGGTCTGTTTGCAAAAATCGTTTTTCTAGTAGTGAGTAATATTCTAGCCTCTTTTTTTGAGTGATTTTTAAGTTGTGAAATATAGTAGTTGTGAAACATGCCAGGATTGAAAATTGGCTTTTATGTTGTGAAACATACTAGTTGAAAACTGAGTTAAAATGTTGTGAATAGTTCAAAATTGATATTAAATGATGTCGAACATAACATTAACTAGGAGCTCCATAAAGTAGGAGCAATTAAAACATGGCAGGACTGAAAAATGGCTTTTATGTTGTGGAACATAATAGTTGAAAACTGAGTTTAAATGTTGTGAATAGTTGAAAATTGATTTTAAATTATGTCGAACATAACATTAATCAGGAGTTCCATATAATAGGAGCAATTGCACTGGTTTTACGTTTGTAATATAAAAAGATAACTTTATTATAAAATCGACGCCTGAGAGATTCGAACTCTCGCGGGGAAACCCCATGTACTTAGCAGGCACACGCCTTAACCACTCGGCCAAAGCGTCGCTTGGATGATAGATGTGATTACTGATCCAATTTATTGAACTGTATATAATCTCTTCTGTAAATTTGGTCGTTGACTGCTGTACTTTTTTTTTTTTTGTATTTCTTGAAATTTATGTTCTTTTTTTTAAGACTCGCGACTTATCTCTATAAGTGAATAGTGAATCCCAAAAATCAACTAGGATGAGCCACATAATCAACAAAATAATAGCCATTGGATTCACATGAGGACAAAATAGCAAGAAGAAATATGAGCCATTGGATTCATTGGATTCACTTTATCTAGAAGCTTCCTTAACCTATTGAGAAAAAATAGTAAGGTTATGGATATAATTTTACAATGCACACTTTTAATTAAAAAACTATTTTGCAAACAGGCCCTCTTACTCTATCTATGTAACTTCCCTTTGGGAAAAAAACAAATAGATCATTGAATTATATTTTAAAAGATCCAACAGTGAATTAAAGAGTAAAGTGAGGAAAAGATAGTAATGTTGTGTATATAATTTTACAATTCGCACAGTTTACCAATAAAGCTAATCTTTTAAGAAAGATTAATATGATCTAACTAAGCTTTATATCATTTGAAGTTATATATATTAGTGATGAGCATATATATATGTGTGATATACTAATGTAATAATCGGCTATGCACCCGTCTGTTATGATTAATCATCATTGCAAATTTAAGCTTATTATTAATACCACAATCTATAGACACATTTAGAAGAGATAGAGTTTATAGTTGCGCAAATGCGCAACTTAATATACTAGTTTCAGTGATATGGAATATTAGATTAAAATTATTTACATCAGTGATAACAATTCCTCTTTGAGATTGAGTCTAAAAAAGGACCCATATTTGGGCAGCTATGCATGTAATTAGATATGGAATTTATGTTCTTTTTTAAGACTCGTGACTTCTTTTAATGATATGGAATATTAGATTCAAAGTATTTAAGTACATGAGCTTAAAAGGCCCCATGTTTGGGCAGCTATGCATGTAACTAGCATGGGAAGATGAGTTATAACAAATATTGAAGATGGACGGTTACTATCTGAGGATTTCGCATGGCTTCCCTGCAAAATTGTCTCCTATTTCATTTCTTTTCCTTGAAAGAATGGGAAGATGAGTTATAACAAATATTGAAGATGGACGGTTACTATCTGACGATTTCTCATGGCTTCCCTGCAAAATTGTCTCCTATTTCATTTCTTTTCCTTGGAAGAATCCATTTGATGTTCAGTCTTCGGCTCTGCAAGAGTTGTTATAGCATTGAAAGCAGAGGTCTTAAAACTCCAATGACCTGGATTTTGTCCCAGTTCATTCCGATGCAAAGTACACACAATTGTTATATTATCTTAAACCCCAGTTTTCTTCTAATAAATACCAGTGTTATCTACCAAGGAAACAAACTCTATGAATATTATCGCAAAATCTAAATAGAGAGCACTCTCGATTTAGTCATAACAAGTGACCCCATCGGCATTATCTAGATATGTGTTAACTTGAAGAATCTTACTTTACTTTACTATGTAGTACTAGTCCATTAAGTAAGTATGGAAAATATTCATATCATCTACGCTTCAAATAAAATTCTCTTAAATTACTCATCCGATTTATAATCCGATTACACCGTTGTGTTCATAACAATTAAATCTTTACAACAAGATCTCACATGATTATATTTTGATGAAAAATCACAAATTACTTTTATGATATGTCCAAATTACTTTTAGATTTCACTAAGTTACTTCTTAAACATATAAAAGTAAATTCAGTAAAACCTAAAAGTAATTTACATATATTATAGAAGTAACTTAGAACAAAACGAAGGTATATTATAAAAGTAATTTATTATTTTTCATCAAAATATAGGTCTAATCGGATTGTAGATCGGATGAGTAGTTTATGAGAAAATTGTATTTGAAGTATAGATGGATAGTGCCTCTCATAGATGCAGTGGTAGCTGGCTACCACTAACTGTGTAGTCACGTCCAATATTTATACAGTAGGGACAGATATTTTTTTCTCCTCTTGAAATTTCACACGAAAGGTCGCTAAATTCCCTTCCTCCGGCTAGAAGAAACCTTTACTCAAAAGTTCCTATGACGTTATGGAATTACATGTTTGTCCTCAGGTCTTTCCTTTGTTTTTTTTCTCCATTTTCTTTTATCTCTCTCTGTCACATATTCATTTTTACAAATTCAGACCCTTGAATTTACACGCAGCCCAACCACATTCCCCATCACTTCCACCCACCCTTCACACGCATGCAACGACCAGGATTCGTCCACGTCATCCCTCCTCAGCATCAACGGCCGGGATTCGTCCACGTTTGAGCTCCACATGCATCGGCGGCGACCGTGCGTCACGGATCATCGCTCCTCTCCACCATTGCACCGTGTTCGTCCGTTCGTCCGCGCGGTCACGACGCGCCGCCGCCGCCGCCGCCGGCGACCTGCTCGACCATCCTCGCGACGTCCGCCATGCTCGGCCGGCTCTCCGGCTCCGGGATGGTGCACCGCACCCCGACCCGCAGCAGCCGCACGGCGGCAGGGCCGGCGCCGGCGGCGACGACGGGGTCGACGACCTCCTGCTCGGTGCCGCCGGCCACCGCCGACGCCGCCCACTGCACGACGTCGGTGCCGCCGCGCGCCGTGAGGAGGTACTGCGACGGGAACTTCCCCGTGACGAGCTCGAGGAGCACGATGCCGAGGCAGTACACGTCGGACCTCGCCGACAGGGCGGCGCGCTGGGCAGCGGCGCCGGCGCCGGCGGCGGCGGCGGAGGCGGCCTCGGGCGACCGGAACGCGAACATGGCGTGCGGCGCCTGCGACGTGTTGACGAGCGGGAAGAAGCCGTAGTCCACGATGCGGGGCTCCAGGTGGGCGTCGAGCAGGATGTTGCCGGACTTGAGGTTGCCGTGCGGCGGCGGCGGCGGCGGCGCGTCGAAGTCGGCGCCAGTCATGCTCACCAGCCTCATCGCCGGGATGCCCAGCTTCTCGTGGAGGTACGACAAGCCGCGCACCACGCCGACGGCGATCCTCATCCTCGCCGGCCAATCCAGCACCACCCTCTCCGGGCTCTGGTCACCTGAACCAAACAAACACATCGTAATTAGCAAACTATAATCGAGATTAGTTGATTGAGAACTACACCCTGCGTTTTTAGATTATAAATCGTTTTGACTTTGGTAAGGTCAAACTACTTTAAATTTAACTAATTTTTATAAATAAATATAATAATATTTATAACATCAAATTAGTTCAATTAAATCTATAGTTGAATATATTTTCATAATAAATTTATCATCAGTTAAAAATATTAGTCATCTCTCCGTTTTAGGTTATAAGATGTTTTGACTTTGGTCAAAGTCAAACTGTTTCAAATTTGACTAAGTTTATAGATAAATATAATAATATTTATAACACTAAACTAGTTTTATCAAATCAATAATTGAATATATTTACATAATAAATTTTTCTTGGGTTGAAAATTTAAACTTAAAGTAGTTTGACTTTAATCAAATCAAAATGTTTTATAACATCAAATAAAGGAAGTATTGTTTTTTATAAACCTAGTTAAATTTAGAGTAGTTTGATTTTGATCAAAGTCAAAACGACTTGTAACCTGAAAAAGGAAGGAGTAGTAATTGCTGTGATTAGTGGGGGGTGAATTGGTGATTATTAATCACATTCTATTATTACCGTGGAGGACGTAGAGGAGGCTGCCACGTGGCATGAACTCGGAGACGATGAGCTTTTCTTCCTTGCGGTAATGGTAGCCGACGGGGGAGAGGACGTTGGGGTGGCGGAGCTCGCCGAGCATCCGGATGTGCTCCTCGAACTCGGCGCGGCCGACGCGGTTCATGTCGCGCATCCGCTTCACCGCCACCGTCACGCCGTTGCGCATGGCGGCCTTGTACGCCGACCCCAGCGTGCCGTTCCCGAGCACCTCGGCGCTCGCCTTCATCAGCTCCGGCAGCCCGAACTCGCCGGCGGCGTTGCTCATCAGGACGAACTCCGCCACCTGTTTCCGTGCGCCGCCGACGCCGCCGACGCCGCCGGCGCCGCCCGCGGCGCCGGAGCCGCCCTGCTCCATGGTCACCAGCTGCGCCGACGCGGCGGCGCCGGCGGCGTGAGGAACGGACAGATTGCCGGAGGGCGCGCCGATGGCGGGGTGCTCGTACCCCGACGACGCGGTGCTGGTCCCCTCGTCCTGCCGGAGCATGAGCACCATGGCGCCGGCGACGAGGAGGACGACGAGCATGATGATACCCATGACCACGAACACGCTGGTCTCCTCCTGGACGGCGAAGTAGTCGGCGGCCGACATCGGCGGCATCGCGGTGTGCGCGGGGCCCGGCGCCGCCGCGGCGCACGCGCCGGCGCCGCTCCCAGGCGCGCCGCACAGGCCGGGGTTCCCGGCGAACGCCGACTCGTTGAACCGCGCGGCGACGGCCTCCGGGAGCACGCCGGTGAGGCGGTTGTGCGACACGTTGAACAGCCGGAGCGTGGCCGGGAGCTTGGACGGGACGCGCCCCTCGATCCGGTTGTGGTCGAGGTGGAGCTCCTGGAGGCGCGGCGCGCCGGCGATGGCGCCGGCCGGGAGCTCGCCGGAGAAGTCGTTCCTGTCGAGGTAGAGCTTCTTGAGCCAGCTCATGGCGGCGAACACGTCGCCGGGGACCGGGCCGGAGAACGCGTTCCGGGACAGGTACAGCGCGCGGAGGCTGCGCACGGCGGCGAGGCTCGCCGGCAGCGGGCCGGAGAAGTTGTTGCGGATGAGGTTGATGGAGTGCAACCCCGGTAGCCGCGACAGCGCCGCGAAGTCGAAGTCGCCGGAGAGGTTGAGGCGGGCGAGGCGGAGGCCGATGAGGACGCCATTGTAGCACTGCACCCTTGGCCACCGGTGTGTTTCATCGCACGGCGGCGACGGCGACGACGGCGACCACGCCTCTAGCGCGTTCGTCGGGTCGATCAGCGACGCCTTGAGCCGGAGGAGCGCCGCCGCCTCGGTATCGGGCGCGGCGGCGGTATCGGGCGCGGCGGCGCCATCGGGATCGACGGCGATGGCGCCGGCGGCGAGGAGGAGGAAGAGAGTGGAGAGGCGGAAGGCGAGGAGGAGGGTGACCATGACCAAATTGGTGGAAGGTCACAGCCTTTCCTCTACCTTTCTTCCAGCTTCTCTAATGTTTTCCTGCCTTTCTTTGGGGGCTTTGCCTCCTTGTGCCTTTTGTCAATGGCTTCTTCTGCTCCAGTGGTTAGGCAGGCAGATTTGGGAGCTAAAAATAGGATAATGCAGCTGAGACAACAAGGTGATCAATGGAGATGATGCAATGCAATGCAATGCAATGCAGCTACAGGTAATGCAATGGCAGATTCTTCACAGCAGACGTGCAAATGGTGCAAATGCAAAATATGCAATGGATTAGGCTGGATTAACAGGATTTGCTTACTGCCTGTTTCTCTCTCACTGGGAAAAAAAATGAGGGAGGTGATGTGGCAGTTGTCCTGTAAATACACACTAAAAATAGTCAGGGTAGCAAATTAGGCAAAGATTAAAATTAGTAAACGGAAACAGCTTCCTGCTCCTTGTTTCTGGAGTGCAAACCATGAGGGCGATCAAAAGCAGGGTGTTCTGAATATGAGATGTGTCACACTGCTTGAGACTGGAAATAGAGTCAGAAATGTCACAACTTCACCAGAAGTGCTGAATCACCATGTTACATTGAAGAGTATTACTTAACTACAGGTAACCTTTGTCCGTATACAGCATCATAATTTTTTTTGTACTGCAAAAGAAGCCATGTATGATTTTCCTTTTTTATGTATCTCCAAAGCACAGAAAGACAATGAACAAGGTTAAAATTAGTAAACTGAAACAGCTTCCTGTTCCTTGTTTCTGGTGTTGCAAACCATGAGGGCGATCAAAAGCAGGGTGTTCTGAACATGAGATGGTGTTCTGAATATGAGATGTGTCACACTGCTTGAGCCTGGAAATAGCATCAGAAATGTCACAACTTCACCAGGAGTGCTGAATCACCATGTTACATTGAAGAGTATTACTCCTACTTAACTACAGGTAATCTTTGTCTGTATACAGCATCATTACTTTTTTTGTACTGCAAAAGAAGCCATGTATGATTTTCCTTTTTTATGTATCTCCAAAGCACAGAAAGACAATGAACAACTACAAAGTACAAACACTATGGCCAATCTCCTAACTAGGACAAAATTTGCAACATTCAAACCTACATTTGTCTATGTACACGGACTAGCAAGCAATCATTCAACACTCAGCCTGGGTCACCTTGAATACTGAACATAGTGCACATATCTGCTATAGACATTCTTGTCTTGAAAACTTGAAAATCTCAGCTATGAGCTCCAAGGGAAGACCCTTCGTCTCTGGAACTCTTAAGTAGACGAACACGAGAACCAAGCAGCACACGAATGCATAAATCGCACATGCCCCACTGAGCCCAATGGTACTTAGCATCACCGGGAAGCAGTAAATTGAAAGTAGTCTGCCAAACCAGAAGGCAAGTGAGCAAAAACTTGCACATGTTGCACGGGCCCTTGTTGGGAACATCTCGGAGCAGAGAATATTGGGTATTGGCCCCAGACCGATGACATATGAGCAGAAGCAAATGGTTAATGAGAGCTGGAAGAGGATTTCATGTGGCAAAGATCCCATCTTCACGATGTTGGACAAAGATATGGCACCAACTGATAATGTTAGGAAGGGGATACTGACCAGGAGAAGAACCCTGCATAAATGTACATTGTACAAAGTCCTTAATCTGGGATATTTCGGATGGACATTGTAATGAATTTACAGCATGTTGACATTGTCATTAGATAGGGCAATACAAAGAAATGTCAAAGGACAATTTTGACAGGAATTTTGCAAGATGGTCAGGTCAGAAGAAAAATAATTGCTCCCTAATGTTTGGCTATTGTTAAGAACATGCACAGTGATTTACCACTACAAAAAATAATCAGTACGTAGATTGCTACTATGAAAATTTGTGATAATCAATGGACTTCAACGATGGTACTGTAACATGAAGTGGCTACGCTAGGAAATATAGTGAACACTTTAATTGTAAAAAAAAATAGAATTTGAAATATTCAATTAGTTTCAAGAGTAAACCTTCTTCCACAGACATCCATCAGTATCATTGCAGCAGTTATACAGGGGAGCATCAGCGAAGCATTAAGGGCACTTATGAGGATCGATGCTGAATGGGAATCAAGTCCAATGTCTGAAAACAAACTAATTACTCCGACCTGTTCAAGAATTTGAGGAGTGTATCGGAGAAGGCCACTGATTCCTGCGGACTGCAATTTTCAACAAGCGGTAAATAATAAAAGAATATAACCAGCATGCTTTACAGCTTTCATTGATGAAGGATTTTTTAACTAAGTTGTCCACTTAAATCTACAGAAAACAAAATATTGGTGAGAAAGAACTGTACCTGTTGAAGAGCTTGAATCAGCATTCCATAACACAAGGCATGCCTGACTCCTGGCTGAAGAAGTACCCTCCATTTAGGCTTTATGTCAGCTGTTTCAGACAACCGAACCATTTGTTGTCGAAATGGATGCAGTCCTGCACCAAGTGCAGGCTGGCTAGATAATGCTGCTATATGAATTTCTTCGTCATCTTCTTCAATGTCATGATCATGCAAAGAAGATATTAAATCTTGCGCAAGCCCTGATGTTGATGTACCATGTCTTCTCAAATATGACGAGCTCCCTTCAGAGGTGAATGATGTATTTATATCGTTTGTTTCAGCACTTGCTACTTGGGAAAGTAGAGAAGCTTGCAAATTATCTCCATTATTGCCTTCTTCAGCAGAATATGCCTCCCTAGATTGTTGAAGACTATCATTCCCCCTCTGCTCACTCGTCTGTTCTTGTTCCACAATATTAAAACTGTTGAAGACAGGGAAGTAGCTGTTTCGCCCAGCTCCTAATTCCGACATACTCTCATGGATGCTTCCAAGAAGATCAACTAATGGATCTGACAGGTGCCAATAGAAAGTACTGTGGCGCGACATCTGGTTTGTGCTAGTTCCAAGAAAACTTTGACTTCGAACAGCACCAACAGCATGTCCTCCAACAGCTGTTTCCGTTATCATGTTCATACCATCCGCAATAAGAGCTATTTCTCCTGCAGATCTATCTGATGTCAAGACACATTTACAATGAAAATTTATACATAAACAACAAACACTGATTAGATTCTCACAACTTTAGTCTTGCCTATCAACATTTGATTATTTTTATCCTTCAAAACAGCATTTGGTTGCATGACATATCATGATCATAAATTTTTCATCACTCACTTGTTTTATCTCTTATGTCATGTCCATAATTGTCACAACTCACAAACTTCTTTAGGATCAGTTTTTTTAGCTAGAAATGCTTTAGTACCTGAAACAGCGTAGAATTTACTTCCCTTTCTTGTCTTAGCTCTCAAGTTATTTATCAAGAGCCTATTTAGGTAGGGCAATTAGAGTTCAGATTGTCAGGATTAAATTTAAGTTTGAAATAGAATTAAATCCCAAAGAAATCCCTGTCAACCAAGCATGCCTAATTACTAATTAGTTATATACTTGGTACTTTTCAATCTGGAAGGTTTTCATTATATAAGACATTATATCATAGATTTTGAAGGTAAGAAGAAAATAATGAAACGTCCCAACTAATTAAATCTCCTACTTGTCTTGGGCCAGCTGGATACACGGCAAACAAACAGCCTCGCATATTGAAGACTAATTTGACTGGTCACTATAATGCATGTTCAGTGTCTGTCCACAACTAAATCCAATGATTCCTAATTCACAGACCTATCAATCAGTTAGTATTGTCATGGTGTCAAATGTCAGTTATAAATTATAACTAGATATTACTCAAGTAAAAATGAGTAAGTACATATAGTTACTCAGATCTATCAATGATACATCATCCACTGAAACAGTTTTTGAAGCTAATAGCAGCATTCTTACCTGATACATCATCTTTCCCTCTAAGCCACTGTAAGGAAATTCGGGCCTCACTAATTTTTCCATCACTTACAAGCCATCTAGGTGACTCTGGCAAGTAGAACACCAATAAAGCAAAGTAGACCAAGGAAGGAGCAAAGATTGCGCCGATCATAATTCTCCAGTTAGGTGAAGGTATCAGTGTCATCCAGAATATCAGGCAATAGGAGAATACTATTCCTACAAAGAACATGAACTGTGGCATAGTTCCCAGTGATCCCCTCATATTTGGAGGAGATGTTTCAGATATATAAATCGGAACACAGGTGAAAACCAGACCACTTCCTGATCCAACAATAAGCCTAGCTAGAAGTAAAATGTATATGTTAGGAGACCACACCATTAGAAGGCCACCGGAAATCAATAGCAGAGAAGAGTAAATCAGTGCAGCACGTCTGCCAAGCCAATCTAATAGCGATCCAGAGAATACTGTGATTGCGATAGACCCGAAAACTGAAACTGCTAAAATTATTCCATCAATAGAAGGTCCGTTGTTCAAACCAAATTCCTTCTTCATGTGGATATTAGCCTCTGTCAGATAATCAAAAGCAACTTTAGTACAACTGTTTACCTTTGCCATATCTCTTAAGAATGAAGAGACTTGTTTATCTTCTTTTGACGTACAACATGGTACTAATAATCTAAGAAACTAAAAATATCTAACTGAGATACCAGCAGAAGGATTACCCAAAACGGTTGTAAAATCCCATCCAAGTAATGTATAACCAATAGAAACAGCAACCGCAGAAAATACCGTTGACTTCATCATTTCATCAAGTACTATAGCCCTTTCCAAATAATTTGAGGACCTGAAATATATGAATACATGTGAGAAATATTTACTTAAAAATAAAATCACATAAAATATTTTAGGGTAACCAACAAGGTCTGCTTCCTGAAACAATCATTTTAGATGCACAGTTTGATGTTTGGGGTCTTAATTCAATGGGTTACAATTACAGATATATTGCAACATATGAACCTCTTGTTCACTATAGAAATCATATGTGACTAATGCATTATCTGCTATTCTGTTTCAGATATTCTTGTGCAATTTAATATTTCATTTACTAAGAGGTAAATTACATCCAGCTCATAATCTAAAAAATGTTGCACCTGTCAAAACATGGAAAGCTGGTGGGGCAATTGAAAGGAGCAAGCCACCAAACATTAGTTTGCTGGCACAACTTGTAACAATAATGAATGAACAGTAACCTTCATGCATGACAAAGTGGTCCAATCCAACTATTCAAAATCAATTGAGGAAAAAATACAGTACCCTGGCAGTCAACATTTCATGGCCAGTTACTAGCGGTAACAAGTTTTACTACTGTATGGACATAGTCATCAAATAATTTTGTTCGCTAATTACTACCCAGTTTGACTATGCTCAAAAGTCAAAATCACTATTCAACAATGCAAATGTAAAATCTTCTCTCAATCTTCTATGAGGTTCCCTGAACTTCTAACTCCAAATAACACATACGAATGGGTAACTGTACAAGAAACAACATAGCATATCAGTACTCGTAGCTATGGTACTAGCCGGTTACCACTCACGTATTTATCCCTGGTAGCCTGGATCATTCTGATTGTCATGCGAATAAGTTAAGAAAACTCTTTGTGATAATAATGGCACACAAAATTTTAAAAATACCAGTAAAATTTACATCAGCATCAAGAATGCTACCCATTAAGTATTAACATTCATTTTACAATTCAACAATACTACCCATAAATAATTAAAGCATGTGATCCCACCACTACAGGCAGAACAAAAGAGATCATATATAATAAAAGTATTACAATCAGAATATGGCGTGATATAAAGAAAATACTTACAAACTTTCTAGTTTTAGATTTATTCAGTAAAATACAGTCAGTACTGAACAAATCATAACCATATAACTAATTGAAGAGGTTCAAGAAAAGAGTCATACCCAACATTATCACTCCAATTGCTCAAAGCCCCAGCAGTTGCAGGCCAACAAAAACAGGAACTTCACACCTTCCATGTCCATTAGGTCTGTCACTTGCTGGTTCAACTGTAAAAAATAAGTGAAAGTGGATACTTTTCAGTTTTCTAGAGGTAGTAGATTCACATTAAGTTCTTTCTTGAAACTATTATTTCCTAAAAATGATTTTCACATGATTAGTTGGTCATTTTTTTTAGCTCCAAGACTCTATGTAACCACAAGCACACAGGCAAAAAGTCGATCCATGATCCATAATGCGCTTGGCTTTTGTGTTTTCTGCAAATACTTTTGTTTATAAAGAAGAAAGGAAAAGCTTATTTCCTAGGATGACAATTAGAATCAGAACGATGTGAACCAACGCTGCAAGCATCGCACAAATCATTGCAGAAATCTAATACCAAAGTACAGCATATTACTGTTTATTGATAAAAGACAAGAATAGTAGAGATATTTTCCTATTTGGAACCAGACAACTTCTGTCTATTTGTCATGAAACACCTTCCTACCTACCAAGTGTCCAAGTGGCATGACTTCCCTACATCAATTGGATCGGAAAAATGTTTGATTAATTATCCTGAGCAGTTCGGCACCAACCAAATCCATTTTATAAGCTGTACTCTTAATTACATTTGAAATGACCTATCAATATTAACTTTAGCAAATGCTCTGAACCAGCTCGGATCACTGTATATATACCTAATCTATATACCAATCAAGAGTTCAGAAATAGTCTCCTTTCCCAGTTATCACCCATAAACAACACGTCAAATATCCCACCAGAAAACAAAAGGAGACAAAACTTATAATCAGCAATTCAATCAGCGGTCAAGGAACTCAATCGAAGTCATACGAGGAATTTTCCGGTTGTCACATGTTTTCCTAATCAGTTAATTGCGGCCATGAGACGACCTGTCTGTTCATGTATCCGAGAATGCTTCTGTAATTTCTCCTCCTCTTTCAACGGAAAAAAAATAATAAATCCAAATATAGTGTAAAACACACAGCTCAACATATAGAAATCATAAAGTCTACAATCTAGGTAGTGGGTAACAACCTTACTCCAAAAGAAGGTTACTGTTCCAAATCTAACGCAACCTGCCTCTCCACCATCTGCATCCTTTTCCCCACTAAAGGAAGAAAAACGCAAGCTGGTTGACCAGTATCCGTACACACATGATCACTAAAGAGTAAACACACTCTCTCCTCCTATTGACTGCTTGCTAATCCCAAAAATTTCCACGGAGAGCATCACGCACAAGTAAGCAAAGCTAAGAAAAACCCCCCGGAACCCACATTGAACGCCGCCTAAGATTCACCCACAAACCATCCCTCTCCATCAGACTCTTACCACTCCCTCCCCTCACAAACCCTCAAACAATCCGCGCTAATCCACCAAGCCAACCACCCCCAATCCCAACCATGCCCATACATACATACAAAGGGGGAAATGAAATCGGTTTCGTGGCAACCGGAGCTTCTCACCTGAGGGGATTATCCGAGCCGCCCCGGCGCCTCGCCGGAAGCTGGGCGCGCCTGTACCGCGCCTGTAGCGAGGCGAGGCGAGCTTCGAGCGCGCGGCGATGGCGGGAGGGAGGGGGATGGCCCGGGGAGGGTGGAGACGAAGACGATGGCTTTGGGGAGGAGATGGAAGCTGCTGATTTGCTGATGATTGGTGATTAGTGGAAGGAGTAGACGAGCTTGAGAGAGAGAGAGAAATCAGATCTGATGAGATGCAACGTGGGCCGTCCGATGGTGGGTCGACGGTTGATATATGCTCCCTCCGTCGCAAAATATAGGAATAAACTATGTGATGCTAATTTCGTATTCGTTGAGAGTAAAACATGGAATAAATTAATTGTTAAAGTTTGTGTATTGAAGATCGTGTAAAAAAAGGTATAGATCTTATATTTGGGACAAAGGGAGTAATTATATAATCGTGGTGAGATGGCAGGGATTACAGCATTTCTGATTTTATATTCATGTGCTCCCTCCATACTCGTAAAAGAAGTCGTTTAGGACAATGTTTAAGTCAAACCTTGGGAATATAAATCATGAATAACTCTTAAGTTGTTGAGTTTGAAAATGTAAAAATTATATGAATAGATTTATCTTGAAAAATACTTTTATAAAAGTATACATATATCAATTTTCAATAAATATTTTTATAGAAACAATAAGTTAAAATTGTGTTTTGGAGACCGTGTCGCTGTTCAAAACGACTTCTTTACGAGTACGGAGGGAGTATATATCTTGTACGTATGCAGGGTGCAGGGCGATCATTTTATATCTTGGGCATTAATGTGTGTGTTTAAGCATGTGGATTTGGTGGGTGGTATGAATAATGACATAATTGAGTTTATCTACATCCAACCGGATATGTGCATCATTTTAAAATTAGGAACTTTGCCTATTAATCAGGTAATTTAGCCCTCAAATAAGGTGGGTGGTATGAATAATGACATAATTGAGTTTATATACATCCAACCGGATACATCATTTTAAAATTAGAAACTTTGCTTATTAATCAGGGAATTTAGCCCTCAAATAAGCTAATCTAGAATTCGCTCCTATGGAAATTTAAACTCAGTACTTTAAAGTGCTACTCAGGTCATTGCAATCACTAAGCTACATGCCCTTTTACATAATTGAGTTTATCTTATAGAAACATTTTCATTTTGGCATTATACAAGTGAAATATTATAGTTGAAGTATTGTATCGTAGGCTAAAAAGGAAAACCATCCATACTACATGTACGTTTCTAACAATTGTCGTTAGATTTGCTTTAAGATTCGTAATATATAGTTATCATATTTCTCTACTCAATATGACAGAGATCTATTTAACTGTTCTACTGTAATTATAGATAAACACAACCATTGTATTGTTGCAAATATGTCATTCTAAATCCAACGATGATGACCAGGAAACCCTGTGCTAACTAAGCGATATTTGTTATGCTAGTAGATAGTGCTATATTCTCTAAGTCTTAAAATAAATTGATTCCTAGCAAAATTCCGAAAAGATAAAAACTTATCTACCTAAGAACCAAAGGGGAGACTAAAAATCAACTTACTCCAGTTTAGATAAATTTCGAGCAATAAAATTCATTTTTTAAATGGAATAAGTACTTATTATTGGAATCAATCAAAGTCCATCCTGATGCCAAGTGCCAAGTAAATCAACATCCACACGACGGCACCATTACACCTGTAAGGTGATCTGATGATCCATTGTCACATCTAAGAGGCAAGATGCTGTGCAGGGAAAGAAGCAGATGATGCACAACTACTGTGAAGTGAGTCACACAAGAAGACGAAAGTTTCAGCTTTCAGGGTCAGCAGAGAAGAGAAGAAACGTGTACTACCAGGAGTTCAGGTTCAGGTTTCATGGTCGATCCCTTGTTTCCAGCATGTTCTTTAGCGGTTCAAAGTTTTGTAGTAGTAATAGTAGTTGGTAGTTAGGAACATGGGCGTTTGGAGTTAAGTTGACACAAGAGTATTATTTTGGGTGAAATTTTTTCGTCATCGTGAAAGCTGAGTTCAATATATAAATTCTTGAGTTGAAGGAATCAAGTAATTTAGAAATTTGACACAAGAGTTATGTAGATATATTGAATAGAGAGTGGAAAACTTTAAAGGAATACGTATTTGTTTACTTACACAAAACCTAACGTACATCGGTGCATGTGGTGCATATACGTTATTTCGCCAAATCTATAATTAGAATATATATATTAATATATAACAAGATGTTGACTCAATCAAGGGCTCTTCTTAGGACTTTGGAGGATTTGAATTCTAAGGGGCTCTTTTTAGGACTTTTGGAGGATTTAAATTCTAAGGATTTGATGCAAAAGAATTAACCCTAAAGATACCTTTGAAAATCCTATTGAATGAACCATTCCTTCAGGATTTTGGAGGAAAACAAACATTAGCTTTTATCTTATGGTTTTCTCTTCATATGTCCAAAACTCTCTTTTTTTCTGCGTAACATCCAAACAACCATTTTTTTATAAAAAGAAAAAGAAGAGAAAACAACTGCTTTAGAGCATTGCTGAGCTCATATCTGGCAACTAGGCTTATATGTGGGATGCACACTACAACAATTTGCCTAACTATAAAATCAATATGGAATTATATAATCAACATATCACTTTCAGTTGTTTTTTCCAAAACAAAACGGTTATGCAAAACATTATATTCATAGAAGGAAACTAAATGCTACAAAAAAAACTAGAGTTCTATAAAATATACATCAAACACATCATTGTAATTCATACATGACAAAACAGAAGACAATTAATTTTTGAAATTTGAAAGAAAAAAAGAAAGCAGACAATTAATTACCATCCAAAAATAACTGTGTTGTGTTTTCCTCTATAATAAACATTGTTTTGTGCGATGACGGTTAAATGGTGTCTTCTTATCAGATTTTGTGTTTGGCTTTTTTCTTGTTTATTTTTAGCATGCTTCCTAAACCGCTACTCGGTGTATTTTGTGGAAAAAAAATCTATATTCTTTTTTATGTTTATAAAATAGTTAATACTACTTAACTGATTGCACTTTGCAAGCTAATCACCTATTCCGGTTTGCGTGACATTGACTTCATTTTCAAAAACGAAAAATTGTTTCCCTGAAAAACCGTTTCACGTGAAAGTTTGCCGTTATTAGGGATGATCTCTAGTGTACTAAAGAGCTCGCCTTTCTACAACAAAATCAGAGGGAGAAGAAACCATGAAAGAACAACGACGCAAACAAACGAAAGAAAACCCCGCGCACTGTATGCAAGAATAATCCTCCACCGTTCGATCATCACATCATGACAAACAAATTGATTAGCAAAGTAATTAACTACTGTACCTTGGGATTGATATCATGGAATCACTGAACTAAACATGACAACCATTTTATTCATGCCACAACATTTTACACTGTGCACATGATGCTAGAGCTCCAAAGCCATAGCCATGGGTGTGATCGAAGCAAGCTAATTAAGATCTAAGAGCACTGCGGCATGGGAAGGCCGCAGACGGCGAAGAGACGCCTAGCGTTGGGGCTCCTAATGTAGCTACCATAATTGGGGCTCCGTGCGTACGCGCATAGGCACGCCGCCTGTGCCCGCAGCTGTGCACAGCATGCCGGCGGCACCGGCCCCCCAAACAGCGCCGGCCCCGCGCACGGCGTCAGCAGCGTCGGGTTGCACCTCGACGGTGGCACCACCGCCGCCTCCACCACGCCGGCGCCCATGGCCACCATCAAGTACACAAGCAGCAGCGCGGCGGCAACGGCGTACACCGGCGACGTTGATGGTGACGACTTCCCCATCATCATTGATGCCTTTGTGTTTCTCTCTATCAATAGCTTGCTACCTAGCTGCCGGTATTTATAGTGGTACGCGAACAGAGCGGTGAGCTGAGCTAGGCGTTGAACACCATGCGCGCATGCACGAGGGTACGTGTCCACGATGACACGAGGAGCCATTCAATTCGTTTCAAACTTTTCCATTAAGCGGTGCATGGGCCAGACTGTGTACCATTTCGGCCCGATTTAGATGGAAAATTGCTTCTCATGAGTTGTCCGGGTGAAAGGAAAAGATCGCACGCTTCCTAGCCTAGAAAATAGTAGGGGTGGGTGTATGGTAGGTATATAAAGTCAGATTTAGTAAAATTGTTCATATTGATTGAAAATTCAAATGGTCATTTTCTCTCCTATAATTTTATCCAAACTATGAACAAATTATGTTGTTAGATTCATTACAATTAAATCTTCGTAACAAGATCTCACGTGACTATATGAGTATATTCTGATGACTTTTTTCTAACTCTTCTTAGTGTTACACATGTTTCAATAAATATTTTTCTAATGTTTCACTAGTTCTTGGTAAATATTGCACATATTATACTTGCTGAAACATCTAAATAACACTATGCGCAACATTCACAAATAAAGTAATGAAACATCACAATATATTTATTGATTTCGTGTGCAGCACTAAAACAATATGCATAGTATAAAAAACTTAAAATGTGCCACATATTCGAATTCTAGCTAAAACATTTACCTCTCACACGTGAAACATCAAAACTTAATGTTTGAAACATATGTAATTTTTCAATTAAAATATAATCGTGTGAGATACTGTTGTAAAAAAATAATTATAATGAATATAACGATATAATTAGAATGACAATTGGATAAATAGTTTGGAAAATAAATGCATGCATCCTTACATTGCATCGGAGATGCAATCTCCGGGCGGTAGTTTTCTCTATTTAGATGGCGCCAATCCGGCCTATCTACATGTATGGGCTGGGATTTCTGTTGTCTTGTAGTCCCAGATACATGGATGGATCAAGGTTGAGGTCCATCCAGACAAGGTTTTCCTTGATCTATCAATGTTCTGACCCGTGGAGATAAGGCTAATGAGAAGTAGTAAAACCAAGCCAAGTCAAAAAGAATTTAATACAACGTCTTATATACTCCTATTTATTATTCATGCTTTAAAAGTCAATGCTAAAAAATAATAGGTGAAAAAAAATTATCCAAATCAACTTCAAAATTAAATTTCTAAATTCATTTTTTGGTTATGGGTGATAAGCCAACGAGCAAACGATGAAGACCCATGTCATGCTACAATTGGATCATAGTGCGATTTGCTGATATATTATTCAACCTTCAACGAGTGACAATAGTGACTAACAGGTATAATGGATTAGATATATACTAAGCGAACTCGTATGCATGTTGAGTGGCTGCTTGGACTCATTAGGCTGTCTTCGGTCAAAACAAAAATTTGTCCTACCTAAATTTTTGGGGCACCTGAACAGTACATTGTAAAACGTTTGGACTGTAGCCAACACATACCAAATCTATAGATGAGTCATTGTTGAAGAAAAGCTATCAACATTTTAGTAGGACCAAAAAAAAACAGTGTGTCATAGTTAGCTATAAAAATTATTGCAAACAACTAGTGCTAACCAGTAGGAACCGGCAGGTCGGTTTTGTGAAACCGCTATCATAAATCACTGAACTGAACATGACAACCATTTTATTCATGTCACAATAATTTAAACTGTGCATCCATCCATGATCTAGCTAGAGTTCCAAAGCCATGGCCATGGGCATGACCGATGCAAGCTAATTGAGGTCTAGGGGCAGCACGGCACAGGGAGACCACAGACAACAAAGAGGCACCTGGTCTTGGGGCTTCAGATGTATCTGCCGTAGTTGGGGCTCCGCGCGTACGCGCACAGGCACGCCGCCTACGCCCTCAGCTACGCGCAACATGCCAGCGGTACCGGCACCCCGAACAGTGCTGCCCCCGCGCAGGGTGTCAGCAGCGTTGGGTTGCACCTTGGCGATGCCACCGCCGCCGCCTCTACCACACCAACGCCAACCACCACCGCCGCCTCCACCACGTCGACGCCAACCACCGCCGCCATCACCACGACGACGCATCGTGGCGGAGTACACCAACAACGACATTGACGACGTCGTCGTCATCATCATCATCATCGATGTTTTCTTTGTCTATATCAGAGGATAGGTACCTATAGCTACTGCACCTGCCGATATTTATAGCGGCGACGTCACCATGCATGGGTTGGTGCTCGGGTGAACTGATGAGTGGTGTGACAGGTGAGCCATACGTTGAACACCATGCATGCATGTACACGGGTATGTGTTCACGATGACGTGAGGCGCCGTCGTGGAGTGGCAGAGACTTGACACCCACAGTTAGTTTCAGGCTGTGTTTAGTTCACACCAAAATTAGAAGTTTAGTTGAAATTGGAACAATGTGATGGAAAAGTTGGAAGTTTGTGTATGTAGGAAAGTTTTGATGTGATGGAAAAGTTGAAAGTTTGAAGAATTATTTTGGAACTAAACACGGCCTCAGTTTGTCCATCAAGCGGTCAGCACATATCGGTCAACCTATGTACAATTCCGCCCTGGTTTAGGTGGCCTCAATCCTGATCTATATACATGCATGGACCGGAATTTTAGATGTAGTCTAGGCCATAGCTACATGGATGGATCGATGTTGAGGCCCATCTAGACAACGGGCCTGTTTGGTTTACGCCTCAAGAAGCGTCCGATTTTAGTAGCATGTGTTTAGATGCACATGTCTGGGCAAGAGTACTCAAGCCAAAGCACCATCCAAACACGTCCAACGTTTTCTTTGATCTATCAACGCTCTGATCCATAGAGCTAAGCCGTATAAAAACTAAGCGAAGTGAAAAAAAAAAGCTAATCTATCGATAAAGCTGTTTATGTATTTATAATTCATGGTTTAAAAGTCAATATTGAAAAAATGACTATAGTAGAAAAATAACCCAAGATCAACTCTAAAATTAAGCTTCAAAATTCAATATTTGGTAATAAACCAACAAGCAGACAATGAAAGCCTACCACTGTCATAATATTGCTATGGATACTTACATCAACGGGACTCATGTCAGATGTTGGATTTGTGTTCGAGTTGGATCATAGTGCACCTTCCTGGTATCTTGTTCAACTTCCAGTGACTGACATCAATTTGTAATAGGAATAATGGATGAACAGTAAGCAAACTCTTATGCACGTTGAGTGTCTGCTTGGACTCATTAGCCCGTTTTGGGTTGAAGCCAAAATTTATCCTACTTAATTTTCTAGCCATTTGAATAGTACATTGTAAATATTTGGACTATAACCAAAACCTACCAAATCAATACTAGATGAGTCAGTGTAACTCTCGAGGGCGCTTATACTTGCTGAAGGAAAGTACCAGCATATTTGTAGGGCATCGGAAAAAAAAAAACAACTATTAGTATGCCATAGTTAGCTAAAAACCATGGCAAACCATAGGATCTGTTTATTGATTAGGCATGATAACACAATAGCGAAATGATACACATACTTTTTTTTTACAAACTTCCTACAAACGCTAGGTGTCACATTGTGGTTGAATTTTGACTTTTTATGACTTTTAGTTATTCAACCATACTGTCGAGATTACTAATGATTCTTGTTAGTAAGAAGTCTGTAAGGAAAACACAATAACCGTTGTCATTGGGTCAAATTGATGCAAGGGGAAGGAGCGAATGAAGAGTGATTACCGATAGTGTCATTTGTTATTAGAAAAAAGTATTAACCAAAATCCCTTATATTTTTTTGGATGGGAGGAGTATAAAACATCCTAGGGGTGCTAAGCAAGGCTCAAAATTTGACTCAAATACACGTACCGTTTCTAATGTGCTCGTCGCACCTATAATTTCATCGACCGGAATTCAGAGAGTTCCATCAAACCTCTCAGTTTTCTCCTCCAACTTTACTGTTAGATCCCGAAAAGTATCATTAAATGCCTATATTTTGGCTTATGCTTATGCTTATAAGCCAAAATTTGAATTTTCAACCTAAAATTTGGAATTGATTTTGGGATTTTTTCATCGTAGTTTATTTTTCAGCCTTTACTTTTAGATCAATAAGAACACGTATATACAAGTTTTATTCACAAATTATTTTATATCGCTTATTCCATCAATAAGTGAAACAATGGAGCCTTAGTTCCAACGTATATAAAAGTTTCGTTTAAAATCCATGAAATTTCATCTTGGGCTGTGTTTAGTTCCACCTTAAAATTGAAAGTTTGAATAAATTAGAACGATGTGATGGAAAAGTTGAAAGTTTGCATGTGTGGAAAAGTTCGATGTGACGGGAAAATTAAAAGTTTGAAAGAAAAAAAAGTTAGAATTTAAACAAGGCTTTGCATTTTCACCGAGATTGGGAAAAGCTGGCTCTATCTCCCTAGAGCAAAGCATCTCTCTCTGCTAGCCTGCAAAGAATCCATGCCCAGTGCCCATCCTCTGCCTGCCTCCAGCCAAGCGACCACAGCATGGGCCACACGGACTCTGACAAGCACCAGATCTGTGGGCCGTACTCCAACCCTATCCACTCCACACGCCCCCGGCCCATACACCTCGTCCACCAACGCCGAGGCCATCGCCACCCAGCCCTATCCCCTCACTGACAAGTGGGCCACCAACCTGCATCCTGGCCCAATCACGTCCCACCGAATCGCCACGTCAGCTCTGGTCCACCAACACCGCGCCCTTCCACTGTACCACCCGTGCTCTCCCCCGAAAACCCACTTTTATCACTTCACCTCTCGTAGTTACCAATACTCTACAATAAAGCCCCTGTAGTCCAATCATTGCTTCTAGAGGCTCAAGGCCTCTTTGAATTGTATGTTTGAAAAAAAAACCTAGGAATAGATATAAAAATGATTTTAACAGGAATATAAGCGTAAAATAAAAATTTACAAACATAGAAAAAACACAAGAATAATCGTTTAATTGAACCGCAGAAAAAACATAAGAATTAGAGGAGAGATAAAATATCAAAGGAAAGTTTTCATAAGTTTCTACCTCATGTTAGATTTTATTTAAAACTTGTATGGCATTAGGTATTTCATAGGAATTTCATATGGATTCATTCCTTTAATTAAAATAGCTATATAAGAAAAATTACTATAGAAATGAAATCCTCGAAAATTTCTATGAATTTCGTTTCAATCAACGATGTGAATTGTAGGTAACACAGGGGGTTTGATGTAAAAAACGTGTTCTCGTCCATGAAAAATATCCCCTTCTTCTCCGGCTCGCCCACCTCCTCACTCCGCCATCCGCCTCACGCCGCGCCTCCGCCCTCTTCCTCCCCCCTCGGCTTCGAGGGTTTTTTTTTTTCTTCTTCTTTTTTCTTTTTTTCTTCTTCTCCTTTTTTGTTTCTCGTTTCTTTTTTTTTTCGGTTTCGGGGGAGTTGGATTCTTGATTCCTTCCTCCCCCTGAGGCCAAACCCTAATAATAATCTGATCCCTGACACGAGAGCGGAGGCGGAGGAGGAGGTGGGGGATCGATCGATCGCGATCGATCGATTGAGTGATTGGTTGATTGATCGACATGCAGCATCAGCAGCGGATGAAGCAGGCGGCGGCGGCGGCGCAGCAGCAGCAGATGATGCAGCAGGCGCTGCTCATGCAGCAGCAGCAGGCTGCGGCGGTGGCGGCGGCGGCGCAGCAGCAGCAGGCGCCCTTGTTCCCCCCGCACCACCCGCACCCGGGCCTCCTCGCGGCGCCGCAGGTGGCCCAATCTCTCTCCCTCTCTCTCTCCTTCCGTTTCGATCAGCGGTCAGGGTTTGGTGGATTTTTACTGTGCGGTCGAGGGTTTCGTTTTTGGGGATTTCGGTAGCACGATTCGGTAAATTTCATGTTGTAGTGTTTGAGGCCAGTGGGATTGATTACTATTGAGAGTGAGGATTTGACTGTTTCGCGGTTGGGATTTTGTCAGATACTCTAGTTTTTTTCTTTTGATTTTGTAGTAGTCTCTCTGACTTGTCGCATGTATTGGGGAAAATTATTTTTTTCCCGTAGGGTTTGTGGGGATAGGGTTTATTGTTCAATTTGTCGTCTTTGGGAACCTGTTTTGGTTGAAATTTCAGATCTTTATGTATTATTAGACCCAACAAGTACCTATAGTACACGAATTATAGTTCTCTGTGCTTGTGTTTAAGCTTTCATATTTATTAACTTTGAATTTGTCAGATTGTACTGCGAACTAGTATAAATGAGTTCCGTTGAAGGTCAGTGGAAACTAGTCTGGTGATTGCTAGATCAGTCGCTATTAAAGGATGTGGTTTACCGTTTACGTTTAGGCTGCATCTGATCTTTAACAAGGTGTACTTCTTTGGGGCAAGTGGTAAATGGGGAACATACTTGAACACACCATAATTATGCTCGAATTCCTTTTATAACCTGGATGTTATTTGCATACATTATTGCAGTTACAGTGACTTGTATGCTTTTGCTCCTTTATTTCTTCTTCTATCTCCTTGAATTATTTTCATTATAAAATATTTAAGTGCACCATTTTTTTTGACACTAATATTATTTTCTGGCAGATAGAGCCCATTGTTAGTGGCAACCTGCCTCCTGGATTTGATTCAAGTACATGCCGGAGTGTGTAAGTATTTGTCACCTGTTTTGCCCTGTTTATGCCCAAGGAACTTTGTTACTGTTGTTTCACTGATTTGGTTCTATTTCGCAACATTACGAAATAGTTAGATTGGGTAATGCTATGCCTTTGGGCAGAGTGCCCTTGATCCACTGATCTGGATCGAGCTCTCTTCGTTATTTGCAGCATTGCATTGTTGGCTAGATATTCTGCATTCATTCTTTCTTATGGTTGCCATTGATGTTCTGAATAGGTATGTTGGCAATATCCATCTTCAAGTGACGGATTCACTGCTACATGAGGTCTTCCAAAGTATTGGTCCAGTAGAAGGATGCAAGCTCATCAGGAAGGAAAAGGTGTGGAATCTTTGCTCTTTGAGACAAACCTAACAAAAAAAATATTATCTATACTGTTTTCGCTAGATCCTTTTGTATCCTTGTAAATGTTGCTAGTTGAAGGCATTTTTATCGTTTGGGATGTTCTGAGTATTTTATCGATCTCCATAGAAAAGCACATGCATACCCGCCCCTAATCCCTTAATTAATTAACTAAACTGATAGTTACTGAAATCTGTCATTGAATGAATTTCATTTTTCATTCGCATACTGTATTTTTAAAACTTGATAATAACTATAAGACAGTATGACACTGCCCAGTACCATAAGCGTGATATACCGATATCATCAAACAACTTGTACATGATATGACTTATGCAAATCTGTTATAGTGAACCATAGTTCAAATGTATACAAGAGTTTATTTTTCAGCATAATGGTTAACACTAGAGCTATAGTGATGATGCTGGAGTGACTATTTTGGAGTATTTTATTCAGTTGAATTTCATAGTAAGGATAGGCTAGCACAAATGCCGTAATTCTGAACAAGGAAGTTTCAAAATGTTTGCTATGTTATTCACATAGGCCAGACAGCTAAATTCATTCAATTATTATGTTACTAACTACAGTATTGATCTCTCTTGAGAAAGCTTCAATGTGATGCATCAGTTTGTTTAAGTGGCTAAATGTTTTCAGCAGATTTAATGTAATTAACTTCTTAGGTTTGGCTGAGCCGTACACTTTTTATATACATGTGCTTATATGATTTCCTTTTTTGTATTAAATCTCGCAGTCATCCTTTGGTTTTGTTGACTATTATGACCGTAGATCTGCTGCAATTGCAATTGTATCACTCAACGGTAGACAATTGTAAGTATTTCAATACTATAGTATTATAATATATATAAATTCTAATATTTTGCTTTTCCTCTTAACATTTTCCAACATTTTCTTATGATCCTACATTACCAGGTTTGGCCAGCCAATAAAAGTCAATTGGGCATATGCAAGTACTCAAAGAGAGGATACATCAGGTTGGGAACTGAAAAACTGTTAAATGTTCTTTTGCAATTATTGTTCTGTACTGTCTGTGTACATGTGAATCTGAGTTATTAAAATTGAGCTTTGCTGATGTCTGTTCATTCTTGCAGGCCATTTTAATATTTTTGTTGGCGATCTTTGCCCGGAAGTAACAGATGCTGCTTTGTTTGCTTTTTTCGCTGGATTTACCAGTTGCTCGTAAGTGTTTCACGTATCTGTGTGTATTTTTTTTTTCCAGTTCTCACTCTGCTAGCTGCGACATTTTATCGGAAGGGTATTTTACCAGTTGTTCAAGATTATGCATTTTCTTTCTTACCCATATGTATTTTTTTTCCAGAGATGCTAGGGTAATGTGGGATCAGAAAACTGGACGATCCAGAGGTTTTGGTTTTGTTTCTTTCAGAAATCAGCAGGTAGTGTCATTGTGACAGTTTAATTTTTATTTATTTGTACTTTTTTTTGGTGCGGTGCTGATTGATCATCTTTGTTATTCATTGACAGGACGCACAAAATGCCATAAATGAACTGAATGGTGAGTCTTTTTCCATGTTTGTTGCCATGCCTCACTAGTCATTAGGTTAGTTCTAGCTACCTGATCATTTCTGCTTACTTTTCATTGCTTCAGGGAAGTGGCTCGGCAACCGTCAAGTTCGTTGCAATTGGGCAACAAAGGGTGCTAATGCTGGTGAAGAGAAACAAAATACAGACTCCAAGGGTATGATAGAGTTGACAAATGGTTCATCAGGTGAATATACATGCCTTTTGTCCTGGCCCACTTGTTTTGGTTTAAGTCAATACATGATTGTAATATGTAATGTAACAATCAACTGAGCAAGAGCTCTGTTAAATGGCTAGAAAGTACTGAACTGTAAAGTATTCCATGTTCTTTTTTATGCAGAAGGTGGAAAGGATAATGCAAATGAAGATGGTCCTGAAAACAACCCACAGTACACGACTGTTTATGTTGGCAATCTTCCTCATGATGTAACCTCTCCCATTTCTGAAACAAATTTCTTTTTGTTTTGTGCTGTATTTTGTTGTTTTTCCATACCAGTAACGTTTCTGCCTCTTATATTTACTAGGTCAACAGCAATGATGTGCACAGATTTTTCCATTCACTTGGGGTTGGTTCAATTGAGGAGGTGCGTGTAACGCGTGATAAAGGTTTTGGCTTTGTGCGTTACAGCACCCATGAAGAAGCTGCTCTAGCAATTCAGACTGGTAATGGACAACTTATTGGCGGTAGGCAGATCAAGGTACGTTCATCTTCAATGTTTCAGCCATAAATACATTTAATATAAGAGTGTTTTGGGTAGATCAATCATAAGGATGGTTTGCCATGCCCATGCTTATTAGAGAGCATACCAGAAATACTTGCAAAACATCAATAATTGGAACATTCTGAATTTCATTGGCATTTACCTCCGCAAGTTATGTTTTCACCGAGTTTTTATCGTAAGGAGAGGATGTAGTCTAGTTATGGTTCTTGCAATTCAGCTAAACTTTAATCTTGTTCCTACTTGCAGTGTTCCTGGGGAAGCAAGCCAACTCCACCAGGGACAGCATCCGCGCCCCTACCCCCTCCAGCACCAGCACCATTCAATCCTGGCATGTCGGCGACCGACCTCCTAGCCTACGAGCGCACCCTGGCGCTGAGCAAGATGGCAGCGAACCCGGCCCTGATGAGTCAGCACGCCGCCCTAAAGCAGGCTGCCGCCATGGGGATGGGCGCCGGAGCCAGCCAGGCCATCTACGACGGCGGCTACCAGAGTGCCAACGCCGTCTTCTACTAGAGTGACCTGAGTACCTGACCCCCCATGAAGCAGACCACCACCATTGCCTGCCTGCCTCTGTATGACCAAGGAGGATGATGATGACCCCTCCACCCCCTTATACATATAGTAGATGAAGCCTTACCTGAACCTCTCCTTTTCTACCTTTGTTATTTGCCAATCTAGTAATCTTCTCTTCGCTGGATGCTGGCTATATATATATATCTAGAACATATATATAATGTTTTTCTGCATTTTTAGAGATATGGAAACGACCTTTGGTATTTGGATGGTTCCCTCTGTTACTATCATCGTATCATGTCGGTGTCATATTGTATTGCTCTATGCGCATTTTTTTTTTAATTTTACCTTGCTCTCAATTAACGATATCTGTATGTATAATTTTCTTTTCATGCCAAGAAACTGTCTACTCTACCGAAACTGTATAATACATTTCCTTAAAAGAGAAAAGTGAAATCGAGTTCCAGTCTCTCTCCCTCTGCTCATAGACATGTTTTAAATACTGATTGGTCTTTATAAAGCAACTTGAACTCATCAAAAAAAGTTTTAACTTTGATTTGAAACGTTTCCGGAACGGTTGTTTCTTGTTTCAAGCCAATTAAGTACTAGCTGACTCAGCTTATGATTAGGCCCATCTACATTTCGGTCCATAAAGAAGGGATAAAGATGGCTTGACGGCCTGATATGCAATACAGACCGTATAATAAGGCAATAAGGTCACTTTAGGTCCCTTATTTTGACATCGAGTTTGAATCATATCTTTCAACCGCAATACAGATATAACACATCCTTAAATTATAATAGCATATTACCCAAGACCCCAGGTCAGTGTTATGCCTGGTTTTGGATGACATAACGAGTCGATTGTGGTTAATCTGACTGAGTTAGTATGGAATCCATGCATCCTCACATTTCAGCGATAAGTCATTCTTTCTCCCCTCTCCCTCTCTCTTCCCCATCTTTCTCATGTGAGAACCGACTAGGAGAAGGGCGTGTGTGGTCAACGGGAAGGTGCTGGGAGGTGACGTCACTAAGCTCGAGCTGTCGCTTTGACTCCTCTCTCCTGAGCCGCGCGAGCGATGGTGGCGGTGCTGCCTCGTCGAGCTCGCTCGTCGTCTTGCGCCGCAATATCCTCTCAAAATCCTGATTGGAACTCGATTTCACCGTTATGTTATTGATTTTTCTTTTCCGCGGCTTACGTAACAATCAATAACATAAGTGTATCTCAAGTCACCGGCCATACCTTAGGGCTCAAACTATGGTTTTCTTTTCCGCAGCAGCTACGTCAGCTGAAACTTCTGAGGGATACGTCGTATCCGGTACTATGGTTCGACAGTGTGATTCAAACTCGACCTCAAAATAAAGAGGCCTGAAGTAAACTTATTCCTATAATAAGTAGGTCTAAAGCCGGCCCATTGCTGTGGGCTTCCATGGCCCAGGTCCAAAGACGTACTACTCGTCTTTTCTCCCAGAACTCTCCCTACCTCTCCCAAAAAAAAAAAAAAAAAACTCTCCCGAGCTCTCCTCGCCGCCGCCGCCATGTCCGGGTTCGCGCGGCGCCTCGGCGGGATCCCGTGGAGGGAGATCGCCGGGGAAGCCTTCTCCCGCGTCTTCCTCGTCGCGCAGGCCGTCTGCGCCGTCCACGTCGTCAACGCCCACGTCTGCTCCTTCGCGCTGGTACTGTACTTCGCCCGCGTCTCCTCTTCCTCTCTCTCTCTCTCTGCTCTGCTCTGGCTTGATCCCCACCCGCGTTCTGTGGGGCTCTTGGCGTCGGCGCAGGTGATGGGCCCGAGCATGCTGCCGGCGATGAACCTGGCGGGGGACGTGGTGGCGGTGGACCTGGTGAGCGCGCGGCTCGGGCGGGTGGCGAGCGGCGACGCCGTGCTCCTCGTCTCGCCGGAGAACCCGCGCAAGGCGGTCGTCAAGCGCGTCGTCGGGATGGAGGGCGACGCCGTCACGTTCCTCGTCGACCCCGGCAACAGCGACGCCTCCAAGACCGTCGTGGTGAGTAGCTTGGGTTAATCTGGTGTTAGGTTCTTCAGTTTCTGTTTCAATTAGCTAGATTTGGTTTGATCCTCTCTTGTGTTGCAAAAGATTAGTAGTAGAATTTATCTTTCTCTGCTATAATGCAAACTAACACTAGAGGATATGCTTCCTGCCCTTTGTTAAAAAGAGAAAAAAAAAGAAAGGCTTCCTCAGGTCATTGCTTACCACTTGATACCAGATTTGGTCGGTACCAATGCTAATAAATGTAGATTTCGAGAATGCTCAGTAGTAGTGTACTTCAAGAGTATAGCCTTAAGTTGCTCGAGCATCAGTACACATGTGAAAATAAAGGGATGAACTTATGTTTCATGATTAAGAGTTCACAATTCGGTGGTGAGGGTGTGTGGCCTATGCCTTAAACCAAACAATCCTGGCTCGCTGTCAGACATTTTTTTTTCTTCATTTGAACAATAGATACTTGAGAGGCACACTGATTGTCTCCACAATGAGTGGAACGCTGTGTTTTATGGTCCCCATGGTATGACCGGTGACTTCATGTTTCGCTTTATGTGCAATTTTTGGCATTGGACTAACACCGAAAGACAACCACTAGTTCACTGCTTATATGATCGAATAACATATGTACGACAGGATGCTGAGACTATTATTCAGTCAGAAGATACATTTCTTATGTTTGAAATAGCAATCAATAACATAACTGATTTTGAACATGGCAAGCTCCATGCTTTATATGATTTTCAATTCTTTTTATAGTGACTAGTTGACTACCTTTTCAGACATACCATCTTGTGATGCTCTTAATTTGGATGATGTATACTTATAGGTACCAAAAGGCCATGTCTGGGTGCAGGGTGATAATATTTATGCTTCTAGAGATTCAAGACAGTTTGGACCTGTCCCTTATGGTCTAATTACAGGGAAGATCTTTTGTCGGGTAATCTCATTTCCTCTATATTATGGTTCCTTTATATGCCACTGAAATCTCATCCTTGATTCGATTTTGCATCTAATTAGATGCCAATTTTTTTATATCATGAGATTTTGTGTAAGCAACCAATGATTGTTAAAAACTTTAGGGTTAATAAAAGCTTTACTCTAGGATGTGAATATGTGTAGTAATGGTAAACAGCATGTAGTCTCAAGTGCTTCATTTGCTTCTTGTTGCTATACTCAATTACAACAATCTGGGTTACTCACAAAAATTAAAATTTTATTGTCATCTTTAGCAAACACATTGTACATCTTTTCTTAGATTATAGTTTTAGAATATTGTTCCTATATGTTCAACTGGTGAGCTGCTATGAATTAAGTACTCTGCATTTTAAATGCCTCAAGGCAAGTGCCCATATATGGTAATAATTGGTGATGAGTCAGATGAATTTTTACACCGTGTCTAGGACAACTCTGGGCAAAGCACCTATATGCTGCCCACTGAACTTTAAAAGCTCTGGATTCCTTTGAGTACAACTCTGATTCTATCACTTCTAAACAGAGTTAGATTTCAGTTTTGTGCTCAATTAGAACTAGCGAGCCCCGATCAGGGCCGCGTTCATTTTGTTGGCGGTATTTGGCCTAAATACACCAAATGTTTTCTACTTGAAAGGTACTTGCTGAGGTTTTTTTGAAATAGCTGATATAATTACGTACAAGGTTTCTGGAGTACTGTAGATTTGTTCAACTGTATGACTTAGCACAGTACTTGTAATTAAAGCCAAGTAGGAAGGGTGTTAGTTTTAATTGGGAAAAGAATTCATTTCAGTGACCTTGCTATTTTGTCTGTTAATCATTTGTGTACCTTGAAAATGACATTTTGTTTCTTCATTCAAAGTTCACATAGCAACATGCTATCATCATTTGATTGGTAAGGCATAAAGTTAATACTTAAAGTTCATATAACTAATTTGGTGTGGACCATGAAGTCTTGCTTGAAATTACTACTTGTTGATGTTCATTATAGCAACCAAAGGTTTCAGATTCAGAAACCATGTTTTGCTACTATTTATATAGTGCATCAGCCCAATGGAACCGCATCAACACAGGGATTGGGGGCCATTCTTCATTCCCCCCTGGAATGTCATTACTAATTTTACTATTGAGTTTTGCCTTCAGGTCATTAGAGCATTGACAATATTGCTATTTCATAGGTTTGGCCACTGAAGGATTTTGGTCCGATAGATCCAATGTCAGCTGAGTAGGGGTAACTCAGCCTTATTTTTCTTCTTCACTTATTTTCAGAATCCAGGCCTCTCGCTCTACCTTTATCTCTCCGAGCCGACCTTTTTTTACCCGTTTGCTCCAGAATTTATCGAAGACGGCATGCATATCTTGAGATTTTTATGATCAGGCAACAAGGCCCTACATTCTGGTTCATGGTGTCTGCCATGGCACATTTTACAGCAAAACCGAGAGCATCAAAGTTTATTGCTCAGTTTTTTAACATGAGAATTTTGGCCATAGTCCTCAAGGGAATCCCAAGTTCTCAACCATGCTCTTGTATAAATTGAACAGTGTAACTTTGGTGTACGAAATTTTTAGAACATTATTGAGATAGACCAAAATTTGTAGAACGCTGTTGATTAATTAATCGAAGTCGCCATGTATCAGAGTTGTTATCGGACAGTGGTAAACGCTTACCGGTTTAATAAGTAGAAACAAAATTCTTGTTTTGTCAGGGATAAAGCTGGAAGTGTTCTCTGAAGCTCTTATCATTGAAACATCGAAGCTGAAAGGAGTGTTTTTTTGACATCAAGCTGAAAGGAGTTGATATACAGATGAATGCCACAACTTCTTTTTTTTACTAAGTTTCACTTGCGAGTGACTAGTGAGCAACTGAGCATGGCATGCCTTGTCAGCCTTATACAAGACTACTAACCATGCTATGTACAAGTTATGTCTGTTCAGGGATTAGCAAATGCACACATCTGAAATGCTTGAAAAATAAAAATGAACTCATATATGCTGCTCCCAAATCCAGATCAAACAGCAAGATTGGCAGCCATCTCACATCAAATCCAGATCAACAGGACAGCTCTCAAGGAATTCCAAGCAAGCCTCCATGAGGCCATCACAGTGATGCTGTGCTGGCGTTGACGTGGCTGCACAGCGTGTCCTCCCAGATCTGCTTCAGCCTCTCTGGGTCATACCTGTTCGCTGTGCCATGGCTGCCACTTCATTATCGTTCATCTCCGACAACGAATCTTTGTAGATGTAACGGAGCATTGCCTCGAACACCCTCACGTCCATGTAAACGTACGGGCGTTTTATTCTCAGTTGTGACATGTAAAAGTTAAAATTTAACTTGCATATTTATTGAATGATATGTCATATCTAAATACATCTTAATTTTTAGGGACTGTATATATCTGTGGACTGGAAATCTCACCTCCAATCTTTCAAATTTTGGACCGTTAGATATGCTTTAAGATTCGTGCACATCCTTAACCCTAACTTTTTCCTCCCATTCCTCTCCTCGCGCATTCCGCCGCCGCCGCTCGCCTCGCGTGCCAATCTCGCCACCGCCCCAACAAGACGCCGCCCGCCTCGCCGGCTGGCAGAAGAGAGTCAACGGCGCCGGTGAGGTCCCCCCGGCCGGCCCCCTCCCCTTCCCCCTTCCCCTCCCTGTCCTCTTCCTCCCTCAAGCCGATGGCGGCCGTTTTCCCCGTCTCCGGTGGCGGGCGCCACCACCGGCCGCCTCCACCTAACACATATTCCGTTTTGCCCTCCGCCTCCTACACTGACCCATCTCCAGCTTTCGACCCCGCGGCTTCGGCGACAGCACCGTCGCCTCGTCGCCTGCCCGATCCGCCGCACACCGCCGGGCTACCGCCTCCCATGGCCATCCCTCTAAAGCCGGCGAACTTCCCCCTCTTCCCTCTCCCCCCTCCCCCCCACCCCACCCCACCTCGGGGCCCTAATTCGTCGGCCCTCTACTGGAGTTTGGGTTCGCCGGCGCCGGAGAAGAAGAGTGGTCACCGGAGTTGGAGAAGAAGAGCACGAATCGTGAAGCACATCCAGTGATCCAAAATTTACAAGATTTGAGGTTGGATTTTCTGTTGATGGAACTTTAGAAATTCTATTTTTTTATTTGTATCGTAACTAAGTGACATGCAAATAATAAAAGGATATCCCTTCGAGAGTTTAAAATCCACTTCCTATACGTTGTTCCCAATTTAGGCAGCCAGCTTAGCCAGCTTCTTAAGAAGAGAGGAGCAGCTCCTTGTCAGATGTAGAAAATCATCACTCGCCATGACAGCCTTAAGATTACTCGGATTCTCCATGAATTTGAAGCAAGCCTCCTTGAGCCTCTCACAGTGATGCTGCTCGGCCAGCGTCAACGCCGTCGCCGCCGTGCTGGCGTCGACGTGGCTGCACAGCGTGTCCTCGCAGATCAGCTTCAGCCTCCCCATGTCGTACCTGTCCGCCGCGACGAGCAGATGCTGCGCCATGGCCGCCACCTCGCCGTCGTCGTCGTCGTCTACCTCCGGCAACGAGTCGTTGTAGATGAAGTGGAGCATGGCCTCGAACACCCTCGGCTCCATGTCGTGGACACGGATTGTCTCCTCGTTGTTGTGACGGCTCATCGCCATCGGGCCGAAGAGCTCCGCCATGAACACCGGCGACCGCGCGGCGAGCACGCACCGGTGCGCCGCGAACGTCTCGCCGCCAACGTGGATCGCCACGTCCGCGCCGTGCCCGGCGGCGAGGAGGCGGCCGAGGTGCGCGCCGATGTCGGACGGCAGCGGCACGCCGACGAGCTTCTTGACCGTGGTGGCGTCGTCCTCCGTGCGGATATCCTTCACGACGGCGACGTCGCACCGGAGGCTGAAGCTGTCGCCGACGAGGTATCCCGACTCCTCCAGCGCCTTCGCCGTGATGAACCGAGGGAACGACCTGGTCGCTGTGCTCTGGTCGCTGCGCGGGGGCGGCGGATGACTACCGTCGTGGGCGGCGGCGAGGAGGCTGATCTTGAACCTCGCTCTGACGCCATCTGTGAAAAAATCTAATATGTTGTAATCTAATATGTTGTATTTTGGTATTTTCTCATCTATTACATCGACTCTCTTATGGGGTATATATAGAAGTACATAAGGGATAGAGACTTAGAGTACAATATGATAAGAGTAGATTTATCTCTAGGATTCTATCTTTAGGACTCTATCTTATCTCTAGGATTCTATCTCTAGGATTTATCTTATCTCTATAATTTGTATTTAACTCTTATATCTAACTAACATATTATACTTCTAACATTCCCCCTCAGTCGTAACGGGAGCGAAGCGAACGATTGCGACTGGATTTGAAATTTTCTATTTCTTCATCTCATTTGACTCACCATCATCGATTGCATTTCTGATGAACGGTCCTCCACCTGGTGCCTGCGTCCCCTTCTGTGTCGTCCCTTGACTTTTCTCTATTCCCTCCCGCAGTCATAGCGGGAGTGTCATGGACGATAGCGATGACACGGACGTTTTTGACTGGAGTTTCCGTCAATGATTTTTGTTGTAGACGTTCGTCGACGTAGCTGATCATGAAGTAGCCGTGGTCGTGGTAGTTGATGTAGCCGCAAATAGCCGAAGGCGAAAAAAAAAATTACGCCATGGTGTGAAGACAAAAACTGCAATTGTTAGCATCTTGCATCTTGTAGATGTCAGAGGATGCCATTGGGGACGTCTTGCAAATGTCAGGGGACGTCGTTGGCAATGAGGCCACCACTTTGGTTGGTCGTCGTAGATGACGTGATCGATGTCATCGTCGGTGATGCGGTCGTTGCCGTCATAGAGGACACGGTCGATGTCGTCGAAGAAGCGTCTTACAGATTAATCTGTCAGAGGACGCGAGGTGTCCATCTATGTGGACGAGTCGGCGGCGGCGTGTTCCCATGTTGATGAAGACCATCGGTGATGTTGTGTCGGAGAAGACCATCGTGGTGATGATGTAAAGGAGGTAGCAGATGGCGGCGTGCATTGCTGTGGCTGCGGTAGTGACGACGGACTTCTTGATATTTAAGTCGTTGCACGTGGATGCATGGCTGCATTATTTGTGGTGACAATTTCTTGATGCTGTTGATGAGCGGCTTGATGGGCTGCAGCTTGACGAACTTGGACTCTTGGAGTCGATAGTGTCCTCTTGCTGCACGTACGGTCCCCGTCGCTGGCGGTGCCAGGTTTCCGAAGTAGCACCCGTGCGCACGCGCCTGAAGCGCGCATCCTTGCCGCGATGTACTCCTGCAGTAGTCCGTGGCGGACTGGCGTCCGCTCTCGTCGATGCGGGCGTGTCGAAGATCCCTGGCCAAGTGGCCATCTTGATCTGCTGCTTCGCTCGGTTAGCCATGGCAAACGCTCCGAGGATCATGAATTAATGCATAGGCTTTTATGTGGCTAGCTAGGATAAATTGATCTAATGCGAGTTTATGGATCTAATTAATCTACAAATAATTTTGATAGCTGGTAGATGCGGCGCCCCAGGGAGAATATGGCGATTATCTCATCTCCCCAGGGCGGCGCGAGCGGAAGGTGGATCAAGCGACGTTGGTCTTCGGCTCTGATACCATGTGGAAAAATTTAATATGTTGTATTTTGGTATTTTCTCATCTATTACATCGATCCTCTTATGGGGTATATATAGAAGTACATAAGGGATACAGACTTAGAGTATAATACAAATAAGAGTAGATTTATCTCTAGAATTCTATCTTTAGGACTCTATCTTATCTTTAGGATTCTATCTCTACGATTTATCTTATCTCTATAATTTGTATTTAACTCTTATATCTAACTAACATATTATACTTCTAACACCATCGACATTGGGGTCGTCGAGGTGAAGAGCGATGGAGATCCAGCCGGCGTCGGCGCCGTCGTCGTCTCCGTCGCCGTTGGCGCGGTACCCGACGCGCCAGCCATGGCCTCCGACGACGAACCTGCCGGATTTAACGTAGCTGCCGCCGTCGCTTGCGCCGATGGTCTGCGAGAAGCCGTCGATCTTGAGCACGTGCGATCCGGACACGACCTCGGCGACGATGGTCGACGCGGTCACCGACGTCGTCGGCGGCGGCGCGTCGCCGGCGGACGCGGATGATCCGGACATGTCGAGCGCTCGATCAGTGACGAATTTGCAAAGCCAAGCGTAGTGCACATCGTGATAGAATTTATATTTATTTTGTTTAGTGTTTATACCAACCGATTTCCGATTTGATTATGATTAGACATTAGAGCACTATTTGGCATAATCCGATTCTGTCAGTGATGGTTTTCCTAATTACATCCAAACTTTTTAAATTATGATCAAATCGGAAAAAAACCATCAAATTTCGATCATAACAGCTACGCCACATTGATCATAATCAGGGAGAAATGAAGTTTCTACTGCATAATTAAACAGCGAGATTAGCAACTAATTCTTTGAGGAGAGAAGGGCAGCTTAGCCAGATGCTCGAAGCCATCGCTCGCCATGGCCGCCTTGAGGTTGGCCGGAGACGCCATGAACCTGAGGCACGCCTCCTTCAGCCGGCAGCAGCCGTGCTGCTCCGCCAGCGCCAGCGTCGTCGCCGCCGTGGTCGCGTCGACGCCGCCGCTTAGCTTGTCCTCGCAGATCAGCTTTAGCCTCTCGATGTCGTACCTGTCCGCCGCCGCGAGCAGATGCTGCGCCATGGCCGCCGCCTCGCCGCCGTCGTCGACATTGGGCAGCGAGTCGGTGTAGATGAAGTGGAGCATGGCCTTGAACGCCCTCGCGTCCATGTCGCGGATGGCCACGACGTGGCTCTCGGTGTCCTCCTCCTTCATCGGGCCGAGGAGCTCCGCCATGAACACCGGCGACCGCGCGGCGAGGACGCACCGGTGCGCGGCGAACTTGTGGCCGGCGACGTCGAACGTGACGTCGGCGCCCGCATTCGTCTTGAGGAGGCGGCCGAGGTGGCGGTGCAGGTCGGACGGTGGCGGGAGCTTCGCGGTGGTGTCGTCGGTGCGGATCCCCACGGCGACGGTGACGTCACACCGGACGCTGAAGCGGTCATGGCGGAGGAGACGCTTCGACGGGTCCTCGAGCTCCTTCCGCCGCACGAACTTCTTGTGGCCCCACTGATCGGAGCCGCCCTTGCCGGAGGAGAAGGTCCGGAGCTCGCAGCTCTTGGTGAACGGCGGCGGCGGCGGCAATGCCGCCCTCCCGTCGCGGCCGTCGAGGAGCAGGGTGAGCTTGCACCGCGCCTTGACGGTCGCGGCGGCGCCCTTCGTCTTCGCGGGTCGGAGTACTTGCCGGTGAGGCAGACGAAGACGGAGACCCACTCGGAGGTCTCGTCGGTGGCGCCGTTGGGGAAGTACTTGATGTGCCAGCTGTGGCCGCCGGCGACGAACGTGCCGGACTTGACGTGCACGCCGACGGCGAGCCCCTTGGTGCCGGAGTAGCCGTCGACGGTGAGCACGTGCGAGCCCGTCGCCATCTCGGCCACGATGGTCGACGTGCTCGGCACCGCTTCGCAGCCGCCGCCGCTTGCCGCAGCCGACGGGGAGGAGCCCGCCATCTTGGAACCAAGTTAGGAGACAGGAGAGGTTGGAGTTCCGTATTTATTGTGATGCACGGCCACGGCGGCGTGAGTGATTGGAGCGGTGGTCGCGGCGGCGCGCGAGCCGAGGCGGCGGTGGCGGCGGCTGCGTGGTGGCGTAGCACACGAAGCGCCGGTGGTGTGCACCGCACGGGAGCCGACGAGGCCATGGGTTATTGGCAATTCATAAATGAATGAAGAGCAAAAATTAAGAGTTTCTTTGGTTGCCAGTCATAATTTACCACAGTTTGCCACGGTTAAAGTTGGGCAAATTTTGATAGCTATTTGGTTATAGCCACAGTTGTGACAAGATTCCCTTCTAACATATTGGGTCCCACGTGTCAATGATTTAAAAAAGTGTGGCAGGATTTGCAGGTACAATAGAGCTCTAGCACCGGCGATAAAAACTCCACGTCGGCTCGGAAGAGAGAGAGAGAGAGCGACTAATAAGCGCCGGGCTACCCACGTGCTCCAAGAAAACGGGCCCACTAAAAGGATGGGGAGGGGAGGGAGAAAGAGAGAGATTAGAGAAGATGATGGCTCCCACTAAAATAATAAAATATTAGTGCTATAGTATTTTTATTTTACACATTACCTATACTGTTTACTATAGATGATATGCCTATGTTTTGGAGCTCACAGCAGGCTATATTATTGACTTTGCTCTTAGGCTTAGTAAGTTGTAGCTAACAATTTGATTATCTCACCTTAGACAAGTGGTAACTTTTATTGGCAAATACTCCCTCAATTCCATAATATAAGGTACAACCACTTTTTTAGATGTTCCATAATATAAGGTATGTATGCATGTAGGCAATTAGTTATGATCCCTTCTCCATTAAATTATTACTATAAGATGATAATAATTATTTTCTTGGTTTTTTGGTTAAGGGTAGTTATGCCTTATATTTTAGAATGGAGGGAGTAATGGTAAAGTGTGGCTAGAACCAAATAGCCCCTAAAACCGGGAAAAGCAGAGTGTCGCATGGTTGCACATACTTTGCCTACCACAGCTTACCCGACGTGCTCCCGAGTCCCGACTACGCAAGTTCCCTTTGTCAGCTGGTGGTGCCACTTGAAATAATAGCTTGGTCCATTTGAAAGGAACGCAACAGCAGCGTATTCAACAACGAGACATTCCTAGACCGAGTTGGCAACAATGAAGGGGGATGAGACAGCTCTCTGGCAGGAAGCCGGGTTGCTCCACTAGCCCAAGACTGACTATCGGGTCACATAACTAATGACACGAGATAAAAGCCCCAATGTCCTTTTTTTTGTGTGTTTTTTTTTCATTTGATACCTTTGTAATTGTCATGATGCACTCTTTACCCCCTTCTTAATATGAAGATACGAAAGCCTTATGCATATTCTCGAAAAAGAAAACCGGGAAAACAAACATGACTATGTGAGTAAACTTGAACTCTGGACAGGACCAGAAATTGGCGATATGGAGGGAGCTACTAATTCTAATTTTACTAGAGACAATTCGGGAACACTTTAAGGAATAATATCACACGATTTTTTAGGGAGATTTGAAAACGAAAATCCTGGGCATCGATGGATTTTTGGGACAAAACGAAAAAAAAAAGCTATGCTCGGCGGGGGCGGTGAGGTGGCTGTGGTGATGCCTTGCTGTGGGAAAAGGTGGAAGGCCAATGTTGATGGAAGGGAAATTTATTACAATACTCTATCCGTCTAAAAAAAATCTAATCATAGTTATAAATCTGAATACACATATATGTCTAGAAGGGTTGGGTTTTTATGGGACGAAAGGTGTAGCGGTTAAGATGGGTGGGATTCAGTGGTAGAAGAAACGCATGACAGTGACGTAGAAACCTCATTTCAAAACCCCGAAGAAACCACTTCACTTATACCGGGTCTAAACCATTTTAGTTTCACAAATAGGATTATTTTTCCTTGTCTGATTTGCCGTTGCTTCGATCTGAATTCTGTCGTAGAGGTTTCTTTTGTAAAAATTGGTGGCGAGGAGGTGATAAGTGCTTCTGACATTTTAAGCAGTCTAACACTAAAAATTTTGATAATTATGGGGCATCCCATTTGAGGGACCATCTAACCAAACATTACAAGTTCCTTTTAAGTGTAGAAACTTTTAAATATGATTATAGTCTAATTGTAATGTACTTATACTGTAACTTCCATGTAACATAAAGATAAGTGAGACGTGGTTATATTATAACTACAAAAATACGTATGTCGCGTCGCGGTGGAGATACGCCTGGCTTGTCCCTGCGTTATGGTTTGTAGTCTTTAAACACAATTTTTTGTTTTTTATATTTGCATAATTTTTTTTTGAATAAGACGAATGATCAAACGTTACAAGAAAAAAAATAATGAATATCTCTTATATTAGGGGACGGAGGTAGTACTTCACTTCGAAGACTGCCTCTCCACCAATTCTACTACAGCTACAGTGTAAGGAGTAGTAGGAAATAGGAATATATCTTGTCCCTTGGATCTGATCAAATAGATGGCCCACATTGATTTGAAGGTACTTTAGAAAAAGAAAACTCATCTTGTAAAGGCTACGGTGATAGCTCTTACCATCTATATTAACACTAATGCGGCCCCTAATAGAGGTTGAATATTTCCTTTAGATAATAAAGTAAGTCACAAATAAAATAAATAATAATTTTAAAGTTTTTTTAATAAGACGAATGGTCCAACAGCGCAAGCAAAATGTTAAAATCCTTTATATTAAAGAACGGAGGGAGTAGATGGTATTGCTGGATAAGATATGCAACTAACTAGGAATTACAATCATCATATCCAGCCATGCCATGTGGTTACAATCTACAAGTGATAAGATCACATTACATATCATTTTATCTAACAATGGGCACATTTGATTTTTTTTCTCCATCCTGCACTCAAATCTCCAAAGCCAACCCGACAACAAAAAAAATATAAAGTTTTCGCCTGATTTTCTATCGCCTAAAATTTTTTAAAAATATTAATTTTGTTTTTATCTGTGTAAGTTTAATTTGAACTTACATTTTTTGGAGTGATATATTATAAATTTTTTTTCGCTCTCATGACCTAGAAATTCTCACATTAATCGGAGAAAAACAAAAAGCAGAGTCCATATAGAAATACAATTTAAAAATAGCTGAAATTCGGGCCTCCACGTTCGCTCTCATGGTCTAGAAATTCTCACATTAATCGGAGAAAAAGAAAAATCAGAGTCCATATAGAAATACAATTTAGAAATAGCTGAAATTCGGAATTAAAAAAAAGAAATATTAGAAGAGGAGACTAGAGTAGAAATACAATTTAGAAATAGCTGAAATTCGGAATTAAAAAATAAGGAATATTAGAAGAGGAGACTAGAGTCCATATAGAAATACAATTAGGAAATAACTGAAATTCGGAATTAAAATAAGTAATATTAGAAGTAGAAGTATAGAGTCCATATAAAAATCCAATTAGGAAATAATAGAAATTCGGAATTAAAAATAAGGAATATTAGAAGTAGAGTATAGAATCCATATAGAAATACAATTAAGAAAAAAATAGAAATTCGGAATTAAAAAATAAGGAATATTAGAAGAGGAGACTAGAATCCATATAGAAATACAATTAGTAAATAACTGAAATTCGGAATTAAAAATAAGGAATATTAGAAGTAAATTCGGAATTAAAAATAAGGAATATTAGAAGTAGAGTATAGAGTCCATATATAAATACAAATACAATTAAGAAAAAAAAATAGAAATTCAGAATTAAAAAAATAAGGAATATTAGAAGTAGAGTATAGAGTCCATATAGGAATTTAAAACTAACTAAGATTCGGAAAAAAAAAGAGCCTCCACGTTCGCTCTCATGACCTAGAAATTCTCACATTAATCGGAGAAAAATAAAAAAGCAGAGTCCATATAGAAATACATTTTAGAAATAGCTGTAATTCAGAATTAAAAAATAATAAATATTAGAATAGGAGACTAGAGTCCATATAGAAATACAATTTAGAAATAGTTGAAATTCGGAATTAAAAAATAAGGAATATTAGAAGAGGAGACTAGAGTCCATATAGAAATACAATTATGAAATAACTGAAATTTGGAATTTAAAATAAAGGAATATTAGAAGTAAAGTATAGAGTCCATATAGAAATACAATTAGGAAATAATAGAAATTCGGAATTAAAAATAAGGAATATTAGAAGTGGAGTATAGAGTCCATATAGAAATACAATTAAGAAAAAAAAATAGAAATTCGGAATTAAAAAATAAGGAATATTAGAAGTAGAGTATAGAGTACATATAGGAATTTAAAACTAACTAAAATTCGGAATAAACATAATAAAATAAAAAGTACTCCCTCCCTCTACTTTTGATAGTCATATTTCCAAATTTGAAAAATTTATTTTTGATATGCATATTTCAATCTAACAACTTATCATCTTAATGACTTTCTTAAATTTAATGCGTGACCCTCTATTCTTGCACACAAGATTGGTTACATGGGCATAGAAAAATGTAAATATTAATGAATCGCTTGTTTACGAGGAATGACTAGTAGCATGTTTAAATGGATGATAAGTAGAATCACTTATCGTTGGTCTGTGTGCCAAGATAAAATATGACTATCAAAAGTAAATGGAGGGAGTAGTGTTTAGAGTCCATATAAAAATATAATTTACAAATAACTAAAATTCGAAATTAAGGAAAACATGGGAAGAAGAGTTTAAAGTCAATATAAGAATACGATTTAGAAGTAACTGAAATTTGAAATTAAAAATTAAAGAATATTGAAAGATGAGTTTCTCCACATAGAAATACAATTAGAAATAATAAAAATTCAGAATTAAAAAAAAGAAATATTAAGACGAGTCTAGAGTCCATATAGGAATATATATAATTTACAAATAACTAAAATTTGATATTAAAAATAATTAATAACTAACACGTATATAAAATACAACATGAATATTACACATTATTAGTTTCATAAAGTTATTGCAAAATTTAAAATTATGTTGTCATTGTAATATATTTTAATAAT